TTGGCAGCTGGTACCCATGACCTAGCTGGGATGGCTAGGGCTGAGCTGACCAGAACCTGACCAAATGAAGAGGAAGATGTTTGACACTGAGCTGGTGTTAAGTTGCTGCAATTTGATGGCTTGCCCTGGGCTGGGTTTTGCTTGTTTATGGATCCAGATGCCTTAAGTTTCCAAGCAGACAGAAGATTCTCCAGAGATAAAGGACCATGCTTGTCTCCTCAGAGTACTGGTTTGATAGGGATGGGCAAATTAGAAATTGGCTATTTAAAATGGGGGGAGATAAAGGCATGAAGTGGCTGGCTTACATGTTTTCAGGGATGTGGTTCTTCTAAAACTGATGGTGAAGGGGATGTGAATTTTTGATGTATAAAAGGGATAAAGGCTAGAAAAGCCAGGGGGTGGCCTGAAGTGTAGTAAATTACCTGATATGGCTTTTCTAGCCATAAGTCTTTGTGAATTCCATGGTGGAATTTGCCCTGAGCAACTGAGTGGTTCCTGATCATTAAAGTTGTCCACCTGGGGTATTTCTGTTGGGAGTAGCAGAGAGCAATGTTCTGGGAGGTTCATGCTCTCTCTCAGGTGCTTATAATTCTGATGTTATGATTGGCTAGTTTGGCCACTCTGCCGGGCTCAAAAGGAGGCCTCCTAGAAGCAGAAGTCTCTCTGACTGCTGGCTGAGAAGGACGTGCTGCTGAGAGAGATATGCACTCTTGAGAGACACATACTGCTGGGAAAGAGATGCAAGAGACACACATTACTGAGTGAGACACTGAGGGACATGCACTGCTGGGAGAGAGACTGTGAGAGACTACTGGCTGAGAGATGGTAGGCTGAGAGAGACTGAGCATTTTTCCTGAAATTGAATTATAGCCTGTTGCTTCCCTAATAAACCCCATAATCTGTGAGTTCTGTGCAGCTACTGCAGTGAATTATCAAACCCAGCAGAAAGGTGGTAAGCGCTGTGGAAGGAATGATTGGTGTAAGGGTTGGTGAAAGGGCTGGAGGGAA